AGCGATTTAAGGTATTCTTAAGTGATTCTTCACTTTTACCCTCAGTAGCTTAAGCGATCAGTTCAAGGTAGAATCAATCATCCCATGTGCATGATCGCTTAAATGATTCTTCACTTTTACCCTTGGTCGCTTAAGCGATTTATGATCGCTTAAGAGATCAAGTGCAAGACAGAATCAAGATCATCCCAAATGCACGATCGCTTAGGCGATTATTCATCTCTTAAGCAATTCTTCACTTTTACCCTTTGTCGCTTAAGCAATGTTGGATTGCTTAAGTTATCAAATGCAAGATCATCCCAGATGCACGATCGCTTAGCGATTCTTCACTTTTAGCCATGGTCGTTTAAACGATTTAGGATCGCTTAAGCGATCAAGTCCAAGGCAGAATCAAGATCATCATAGGTAGACAATCGCTTAGTGATTTTATGTATCGCTTAAGCGATTCTTCACTTTTAGCCTTGGTTGCTCAAGACCATGCAAAATCAGATCATCCCAGGTGCATGATCGCTTAAGCAATTTATGTATCGTTTAAGCGATTCTTCACTTTTAAGTCTTAGTCGCTTAAGCAATCAAGTCCAAGGTAGAATCAAGATCATACCTGGTGCGCGATCGCTTAACGATTTAAGGTCTCGCTTAAACGATCCTTTATAAATACCCTTGATCGCTTAAACGATATATGTAGTCGCTTAAACGATCATGGGCACACATTATTTCTAGCCTGTCTCCTGAATTCTGACAAACTAAAATCACCAACACATACTAATCTATCGTTTCTCCTGAATTTGACAACCTATTGTATTTACACTTAATGTCATTTGATAGAATACTAATAAACTCAAAGTTAAAAGAGGGAAAGAAATACAAATTGCTTTTGTACAAATCTGAAATGTGTTAATACATTAAATTACAACATTATAAATAACAAATAAATGTCTTATATACACCCAAAATAAAAGTACACACGAAGCCTCAATCCTCCCTCTTCATCATTCGCTTCAGCCACTTCCCCCTTTAAAATTATCCAGCACACCTTCAGCATTAGCAGCAGCCTCTTCATCTTCTTCTACATACCCCTTCTAACACTGTCCATGTTGGCCTTGTCCACAAAGTATACATAACACCACAACCCAAGTATCAATAAGCTTGACGCCTAACAACCAACTAATCCAATTCAGACAATCCAATTATTTAAGACAACCTAATAGAATGTATTTCACTTAACTAAAAAACTCTAAGTCCAACTTCCTTACCTTTTGATGACAGCATCACATTGACTTGGATTGGGTTCTGGTCAATCAAAAGGGATCTATATGCCCATGGAACACTCAATAGCCAAGCACTTCAGAAAGTTGCTCGTTGTTTCGTCATTCAACCTGTCCTATTGGGTTGTTGGTCATGTCGAACTCAATAAATTTTAGTGCATATGCCCCGCAATCAGCACTACAATAGGAGGAAGACATTAGCATTAGAATCAACTTATAGAACAATTGTATTATGTAAGTTTTATACAAATTTACCTCGAGTCATTTATCGAGACGGGAAGGCACTTAAGTAGCTACTTTCCTGTCATTAGTTCATCACCCAGTGTTGAATATCTCGCTGTCGCACAACAGTTGGAACATATCCACAACACTGCAACTCTGTCTTCAATTGTCTCTCTCGACAATACTTGGTTTTGCAATCAAGGATTGTAGCAAGCCCTCCTTTAGTAGCTAAACGATGGTCATCCAATGCATTCCTTGATGTTCACGATGTAGTATACTATTTTAATGTTTTCCCAACTGTTACCATATTTGGGTCTTTCCTCCCATACATACTACATCACCTCTCATCAACCAAAATCATCGAGGACACGTTGAAGTCATCTGTGGCTAATCTTTTCTGCTTGCCTCCCTTCTTCATCTCCACCATTTGCCTTTTTCATTAAGGTGTCACTGTAGTTACTAGGCTTTGGCTAAGGCGACATCAGTGATGGCCACAGTGTGTAGACAAAATATCATCATTACTACTCTATCATAGCCTCATAATTGCCAATACCTCATCAACGTGCTACTTAAATATAAAAAACAAATAAGTATACATACCTCATGGAAAACATAAGCAAAATAAGGGAAAATAACTCATCGAGTCTTCGAGCCCCTTGCCTATTGTCATAATCTTTTCAAACCACTTTCGGGATAATCCCCAGTCTTACACTTCACATGCCCATCACTTCAGAGTCATTATAATAGGCATAGAAAGTTTTTTCTTTTTCCTCATTTATTGCCTATACAAATTGACCTTTAACTCTTCTGTTTTCACTTGCCCCCTTCCTCCGCCTTCCTTCTCACCCTCCTCCATTTTCACTTCTGTACTTCTTTTGCATCCTGCCTCACCCTCCTCCATTTTCACTTCCCTACTTCCTCTGCCTTCCTCTTTACCCTCCTCTATTTTGTTTTTTCCACTTTCACAAACTTCCTCATTTTTTTCTTTTGTTTCCTCTTCTTTCCATATGTTACATCGTGTAAGGAGATTGACGTGCTTACCCTTTTGACTCTCTCTTTTATGCTCAGGTTGCACTTTACCCACTTTTAATGCCCACCAACTTCCTCCTCTCCCTACCAACTTTCTCTGCAATCCTATCATTTTTCTCCTCCATCCTTTTCATCTACTCTTCCATTTTTTTAAACCTCTCATAAACGATATTGTAAAACTTCAAACATCCATTATAAGTCAACCACCTCATTCTCCTTACCTCGACGCCTTGGCAAAGCGGTACTTGTTGTACCGGTTTGCTAGTTGGGTGGAGGCGTAAGAACCTCTTCATCCTCCTCCCTCCCGCCGATTTGGAGCTTCATCATCCTTGGCCTCAAATATTCTCAAGCAGTGGCCTTACAGTTGTATGCACATGTGTGACCTCTTCTATGTCTGCATTAGGCGGTCTATTCCTTTATCTACTACATCATTCAGTGCTCTGAACAATGTAACATATTCTTTCCGCTTCAACCCTAGTAGGGGTAGGGAGGGGACGAACGACTCCCTACAATAAGAAAAAAAATCACCCAAATTTAAGCCACATTTAAAAGCATGTCATATTCAAAAGATTAATCCTTTAATCTTACCCGAGAAACTTGAATTTTTAGTTCTTTTTTCGTAATATCAAGGTTACACTTCTCGATGTGCCACTGTAACATCCTGGGAAATTGCGATCGCTCATTTGAAGTCTTCTTCCACTCCTCCCCTTAGCCAAGATAGGAATACCTCATACATCCAAGCCTACATTGTAAAAAAAACAGTCCATATCATAATTAAAACACATATAATATAAAATATAAAAACGCTATTATATTTACCTACATTGCCCATGGGAGTCAAACATATTGTACATGCTCAGTCTATCCTCTCAACAGCTTGTGATGTTTTATCGTAATGTCTTTCCATGTAGGGAGTCAATGGTTAGCTGAAATGATAATCGTCCCCACGGATAAGCATTAAAGAAGTCCATGTTACTTGCAAACTTCACCCAATCCAATTTAACGACTTTTGTTGATCAAAACCCATTAGGATTGAATGCACGAACCATACTAGCATATCTTGAACTTCTCTGAAGAGGTATACTCATCTTCTCCTAACCTCTCCTCTAAATTGCGTACCGTAATAGACGCCTCCCCCCCCCCCCCCCCCCCAAAAAAAAAAAAAAAAAAAAAAACTTTCTAGCCAAGTTATTGGCTACCCTACTCTTCGTTATTCTCTCTTGCTCTTCCGCATCTGGAAATTCCCCACATCTTAAGCGTCTTAGGGCATATTCCATCATCGCAAAACGTAATGGCTTCCCATCCACCACGACACACATTTTTTTTTTTTTTTACTTTTAACTAAGTGCACAACATATAATGCACTCCCTATCCCCAAAACGTCTTTTTTCCAATTTTCTCCATGTCCCAAAATGACCAAAACAACTATCTTTGAATCATTCCATACCCTTCCTTTGTTCCTCTAAAATCTCTATTATTCTCATAAAAACTTGCCAACTCGAATTGTCACCCTTACGGGAAGTCGTGTACCTTATCGCTTACAACCTCTAACCCATAGTCTTTATAATTTACGCTTCAGAAAATCTACACAATCGATATAAACTAAATATCGCAAAAAAAAAATCAAAACAACCAATAGCTGCCATTTGGGGCATACGGGCTTTGAGGGCATCGAGGGTGGTTGTTTTTGGCTTTGAGAGGACCAGGCCAATGCAAGCCTTACAGATAGGTGGTGAGAAAAAAACTTGAAACCGAACTGAAACCAATCCGAAAATTCATTTTTTGGGATTTGGTTTGGTTTTAGGTTGGTTTATATGAAAAACCGAATATTCGATTCGGTTTCAATTTATCCAAAAAAAAAAATCCAGTTATTCGAAACCGGATTGTTAAACCCTTTTTTTTTTTTTAAGATTGAATTAGGATTTTTAGATTCTAAATCCCTAACTCTCAATCTCTCAGACTCTGATTCTCTGGACTCTCTTTGCTCTTTCTCTTAACTCTCTTTCACACTTCGCCGCGTCTTCTACTGTCCATCCTTCACCTTCGTCGCAAATCAGACTTCCAGTCACTGTCGTTGCTCGGCCTCTAGCTTTCTCATGTCATCGTCTCTTTGCTAGTTTGTTTTGTGTTTTCTGAGTTTAATCACTTCCATAAACTATGGATTCTGTTGATTTTACTCTTCTTTATGGTTTTAATCACTTCTTTCTCCTTTGATTTGTTTTATTTCTTTCTCACGTCACTGTCTCTTTCCATGTTTTTGTCTTTGTTGAAATCTAAGCATAATGATGAGTAGAGAAAGAGAGAGAAGCTGAAGATGATGAGATTTGGTTTTTTTATTGTTTCTGTAATTCACATCTCTCTTCCTACGCTTACATCTTGGTGCCAATTTTCTCTGACAAAAAAAAAAAGGTAACCATTTCCTCCAATTTCACCCTTAATAGCTTCTTCGCTTTCCCACTGGCAACTAAAAGCAAGACCTTCTCAAAAATCACTAACATTAGATAAAACAGCAGAAACTTCATACCAGTCAAAACTCTGAGTTTCGAAGGAACAAAGTCATCAACCAATTCTCTACCCCAATCAACTTCAACAAGTTTGATCTCCTCAGTGGATATGAGAAATGGAATCAAGGATAAGAATTTCTCCAATGATTTGTGAATGTTCATTACCTAGAAAGGAAAGAAAAACCTAAGTTAAGAAACAACAAGAAAGTATATTTAGGCATACAGTTTCAGCATCACTGCCTTTTCGCTAGAGAGACTCCCTGAAAATGTAGTTGACAACAGTATCTGCATGGACAGAGGTTTAGCCTTCAAGCAGCAGATAAAAGAGACTTTTTGAATTCATGCTGAGATATAAAGCACAGAAAGCAATATTAAAACTATATGCCCACCATTCATTACATGAACTGTCATCTGCTTTCTTATTCACTCTAATGGCACACTTTAGGTTAAGGCAGTTCAAGCCAGGGATTATTCAAGGCATTCAAGATTGTACTTTGTTTTCTATTCATATTAACTGGAAATGAGTCTTGGGCTGATGTTGTAAGAGTTGCCAGAAGGAATATATCTCAATTTTATGTTCACAGTGCATAATAAAATATAAACTGATTTTTTTGCAAACTTTGCAGATAGCATTTTGTCCCCCTTTCAGAGAAGTCTCTTGTTGTTTTAGCACCTGGTTTCTCTAAAATTAATACATTGTTTCAGTTTCCAATAAAAAGAAAGGTACCCAGTAAAAACTAGATGCTTGCAAGAGAAGACATCACTTTGTGAATCACAGCATCAGTAAGGACTTAGAACCACTAAAAAATAATGCAAAATCCAATAAATAAATTTCTTATCTCTTGTTTAAAATTTTCCGTATATTACCTTATATCAAAAAGGTTTATCTTACACTTTTATTGGAAAGGCACACCAAAGTTTAGCCACCAATGAGGACATAAACTTAATACGCCAAGAATTCTCATAAATACTATATTAACAATAGGTTTACACTGATGCTACATCAATGCCTCGCAAAAAATTCCAGAATTTAAACAAGCAATAAAACATCAATATTTTTGTATGTATCACATCAAGATTTTAAAAACAATTCTTTATAAATTCTCAACGAAGTTTTCGGTTTTGATTATACTTTTTCATTCAAGTAAACATTAATCTACTTATTTTGAGTTGGAATAGCACAAGTGAAAGAAAAACAAATGGTGTACCTTGGAATAACCCCTCAGCCTGAAGGTGGCTTTTTACCCGTGGACGATACATACTCAGCCACCTTATTAGCAAATTCACTTCCCAACATGTTGTCTAGCGCAATATCAATGTCATAACATTCTATCCCCAGAAGCTGTAAAGCACAACAAATCAAAGTCACTAAATTCAAATTACTTTTCAATAAAAAGAAAATTAAACAATGTATAACAAGTTCTCAACCTTGTATCGCGGACCCAGCCAACGGCTACACAAAGCTCAGTTTTAAGATTGAAGTGGTGAAGAGTGTTGAGAAGGCTATCAAATATCTTATTCTTGGCGTCCGTTAACTCAATCTTCTCCTTCACTTGAACTACCACTCCAGGTTCCGTCATTGTCGTTTTGCAAACGCTGCAAAAACCCTAAGTTTCTGGTTCTGATTTGGTTTCGAAATGTGAGGGTTTTGTCAGTGTCCAAAGTAGTTGGAGAGAATACAAGTAGTGGCATAGCGCTGCTAGCAACTCTCATGGTCCTGTTGAAATAAAAGTAAAATAAAAATGTCAAATTTGGGATTTTTAGGCAAAAATTTTAATTGAAGAGAATTTTTTTCTCATTTTTTCAAACAATAATCACGCACTGTAAAACAAAATAAAATTTTTCATGTAAGCGAAAGAAATCAACATGATGGAAATGAAAAACGTACTATTTTAAGAGTTACCAGGCGCCGGTGAGGGTGAACAGGCGATGCGAACTCGGTCTGCTTGCGGCAGCGTGGTGACGGCGTTTACAATTAGTCACATTTATCTCTTTCTTCATTCTCCCACGCTTCTCTCTCCCTTACCTCCATTTTCTCTCTGCTTACAGGACATAAAAGAACCACAGCACTTCTAGCTTAAATCTCTCGATTAATACTGATTATCTGTATTAAACTTTACATAAACCATTATTTTGAGCTCCATTTTGACCTGGTTACGCCAGAGTTCACCATCTCCATTAAATCTATATACAAATCATTTCAGTGATTTCACCCACAAAACAAGCTCTCCAAATAACCTAAAACAGGAATCTCCAATTAGTGAATCGTAGACTAATTATAATCTACTGTGACAACAATGGTTTGGCAGGGCATTTTATTAAAAGTTCAAATTTAATTAAAAGGGTGGGTAGTTTTAAATTGTTAAGTAAATAACTATTAAGGATAATTAAACATGATTAATGGCTAATTAGGATTAATGTAGTATTGTGTAATCTTTTAAAAATTATAATATGTCCTCTAAAAGTCAAAATTCTTGCAAACAAACCCAAACACCTTCTTCTTCCTCCAGCCATTAATGTACCTCCCCTAGTTGTTGTTTCTTCTAAGCTTCGTCTACATCTTCTTCTTCCTCATTCATCTACATCTTCTTCTTCCTCCGCCACTAACATCTTCTCCGCCAAAGATCCGTCTCCTCCTCCTCTTGATATTTCATCCAGGTATGTGCATCTCCTCGTTGCATTTTAAATTTCGATTTACAAAGATTTAATGATGGATTGGGTTTGGGTTATGATTTTGATTTAATTGTTTAGGCTGTTGGGTTGTGTTTGATGTAATGCAAGTTAAAAAGAGTGAAATTTGTTGAATATTTTCTTTCATTGTGGGTAGTTGGGGGTGGTAGCACCGATTGTAGGTGGAGATGACTGAAAATGTGTTCTGAATTTGATGGATCGCTTAAGCGATTTGGTATGTCTGGTTTAATGCAGCAGATTATAGATCGCTTAAGCGATCATGTATATGGTAGAAGATCGCTTAAGCGATCTACTATAAGTCTGGTATATGACAGCAAATCACTTAAGCGATGAGGTATGTGACATAAGATCTCTTAAGCAATTAGACTTATTTATACTAGATCACTTAAGCGACATTCTTGATCGCTTAAGCAATCCAGTATGCGATATACCAGATCGCTTAAGCGATACACCACATCGCTTATGCACATCACTTAAGCGACTCTAGAGATGCTTTTTAAAATCTATCAACCCTTAATATATCGGTTAATAATTTTTGTTTTCCTGCATTATAGGTACTTGACTATTATTAGACATGGTACAAGTGGTTTTGGGTGTTAAATATTTTGGAGAGTATGTGGAGGAAGAAAGTTGTTGGAAGTGGATTGGGAAGAGCAAATAAGTTAAAGCAATTATTGTGAGTACAGAAGTTAGTTTTGATGAGCTGATTGATGAAATCATTAGAAAAGGTGGTTAAGTTGCTCACGTAGTGATATAGTTGTGAAGTATGTTTTAGGCAGAGCTCTTGCAAATTTTAAGGCACCCCCTATTGTATTAATGCCTGATGAAGATGTGAAGTTATTTATGCTTGATGTGGGCGATAACGGTTCGATGCCGATTTTAACGGTTTCAGCTATGGATAAAGCTTTGGAAGTTGGTTCAAGAATAAGCGATGATTTGGGTGGGGAGAGTGCTGGTTTTAATTTTAATTACAAGGGCATTGATTTCTTTGTTGAATAATCAAGATTAGGCGGTGATTTGGGTGGTGAAGATGATACTGTAGAAGAGGTTGGTCATGTGGGGCAGAATGAAAATGTGGATGAGGAGGACCTCATACATGTTCCTGCAGATGTAGAGATTCTTATAAATACAGATTATGCAGAAGGTGTAGTTTGTGAGGAAGAGAACACTATGGTCGTTTATATAGGTTCAGAGGTGACAATTACGGGTAATAGTGAATCACCTCACGTTTTTATTGATGGATTGGACTTGTGTGTAGGTTATTTATTTGACAGCAAGGAGGAAATGGTAAGAAAGCTAAAACTTGTTGCCGTGAGAGGTAATTTTGAGTTCATCACTAAAAAGTCTAATTCATCGATAGTGATAGTTGTATGTCATGACCGAAAGTACCAGTGGCGGGTTTATTGTAGAAGGTTGATAGAGTCTGAAAAATTTATTGTTAGCACATATACTTGTGAGCACACATGTGGGTTGGGACATATTTCAAGCGAGCATCGACAAGCCTTCGCTGATGTTATTGGACAATTTGTCAAAAGTCAGTTTTTTAAAGGGAAAAGTCTATCTCCTAAGGACATTCAGAGAATTGTGCGCACATAGTTGGGAAACGATGTTAGTTATTGGAAATTCTAGAAAGGGAGACAACATGCACAAGATTTTTTTAGGGGCACGCCAGAGCACGGGTACATAGTATTAGAAGCGTATCGTTATATGCTTGAGTTAACAAACCAAGGTAGCAAGACGGCTTTGAAGTGTGACAAGAATAAGGGGTTTAAATATTTTTTGGTTGCTTACGGTGCTACTATAAGGGGTTTTGTAAATATGAGAAAGGCGTTGGCTGTTGATTGTTGCTTTTTTATAGGAAAGTATGGAGGTACATTGTTGGTGGCCACTCACAGGACAACAAGAATCACACATATCCCATTGCATGGTGTGTGGTTGATTTTGAGAAAAAGAAGTTGTGGACTTGGGTTTTTTCAGCAATTACTTACGACAGTGCTTGACAGTGACGAGTTATGCATAATATTCAATAGGCACAACTCTATAAAGAAGGGGATTGCCACTATTTACCCTAAAGTACATCACTGTATAAGGCAACTTGGCTAGAACATAAAACAAAGCTTAAGTGTGCTAGCCTCTTTCAGACATATTACATGGTAGCAAAAGCTTATCGAGTTGATGAGTTTGAGGAGCACTTCCGGCAAATCCGAATCAAGGATGATAGAATTGCTAAGTATCTTGAGCATGATACTAGTCTTGAGAGATAGAGTAGAGCTTACTTCCCTGGAAGAAGGTTCGATATCATGATCACAAACATAGCTGAGTCCTTAAATTCGAAGTTGTTAATAGAAAGGAAGTTTCCAATTGTTGCCCTTTTTGATGCAATCAAGAGGACATTATCACAGTGGTTCCATGAGAGTTGTATGGAGTCAGATAATTTTACCACAACTCTTTTCTGTCAGTTGAAAAATTATTGCGAGAACATATGGAACTATCAAATGCATTGTTTGTCTATCCTCTCAATGCTCAAGAGTTCACCGTGCGCGGCTATGGTCTGGATGCCCTGGTTAACCTTCTTAGTAAAACTTGCAGTTATAAAGTGCTTCACATTCAACGTTTACCTTGTCCTCATGCACTAGTAGCACTAAAACACTAACGAAAGCCAGATTTTGGTTCAAGAATTTACATAGAACTTTGCTCCCCTCTCTATATGGTAAACCATTATATGTTGGCTTATTCGAAAATGATATATCCAGTTCCTCCAAAAGAGCAGTGAGTGGTGCCGCCAGAGTTGGTTGACATTATCATTTATCACCATTCAAGAAGACATAAAAGGGGAGAAAAAGAGTTAAACGTATTCCATTAGCCTGTGAAGTTCCCCGGATGAATAAGTGCTCAATTTGCAAGCAACCTGACCATAAGAGAAGCAGTTGCTAGAATCGATCACATGCAGATCCAGAAAATTAGGTTCGAATAGATCAGAAGTAAGAAAGCAAGCAACATGCCATAAGATCTGTAGATAAGATCAAATCGCTTAAGCAACACAAGATCGCTTAAGCAATCAGCTATTATCTGCAGATCATTTAAATGATCTTAGGTTGCTTAAGTGATCTGATGTTCAGATCTTCTGATAAGAGCAGATTGCTTAAGAGATCTTGGTCGCTTAAGCGATCTGTTCTTATCTGTAGCCTTGAGCAGCAAATCGCTTAAGCGACCTAAGATCGCTTAAACATCTGGTTAACACCAGATCACTTAAGCAATCCTTGGTAGCTTAAGCGATTTGCTACTCATATCAGATTTGGTGAACACCAGATCGCTTAAGCGATCTTCTCTTATACGCAGATCTAACCAACAGATTGCTTAAGTGACCGAAGATTACTTAAACAATCTGATGAAGTTATTATGTTTCTCTTTTGTGGTTCATTAAACTGATTTTATGTCCATGTATTTTCAGCTATGTTATCAAGAAGAATGATGAAATAGAGTGAGTTGCCAAGGCCAATCATTAAAGACTTGTTATTTTCAATTTTTTATGTTTTAAATTTAATTGTTGCCTTGAATAAATCATCATTTATATCATATTAAATCAAATTAATTATTTTCATTTTCATCCATTTTAAAAAGGGTTTAAGTAAATAAAATTTCTCATATTACCTCTTACGACACTGATTGCGGCCCAAAGAAGTAAGATAGGCAACATAAGTATTATCAACATAATTGTCGTGTCAAGTCAATCAATCAATCAATTTACTGAATTAGTCACGAGTGTGACACGTTAGTAGAAATGTACCTCATTTCACAAATATAGATGGTTATAATTGAATATAGAGCTAACCCACAATACGGAATATAATTTCTCACTCAAACGTGCACAATATTAAAAGATCGAGGGGATAAGAAGCAAAATAGCCTTGGTCGCTTAAGCGATCATAAAAGTAAAGAATTGCTTAAGTGGTCTTGATTATGCCTTAGACTTGTTCGATCAAGGGTAAAAGTGAAGAATCACTTAAGCGAGACGTTAAA